TTTTCGGGGTGCCAAAGAAGAGCCATATTTTTTTTAGTTTTGCTTATATGCGCACTCAGTATTTTTGACCATTTAATAAATTTTGTTGTAAGTTACATTCGTTTAATAATCACCCGTCAACTTTTTTTCCTAAAGCGATCTAAAATAAAATTATTGCCATTTTCAAAAATATCCCTAGACTTTTCCGATGTGTGTAAATAAAAAGCTTTAGCTACTGACCAAAAGGATCTAGACCCATTGAGATTGGCAAGCAGTTCATCCCTAATTCTCTGATTGTGAAGTTCTTTGCTTTCATTTATCCTAAGTTTGCAGCTGTTGCGAGCATTAACAAACCTAGTTCGATTTTCGACACTGGGATTTTTGATCAACTGCCGGTAGGCGACAGCTTGCTCGCAATTTTTGTTGAACCAAGGTTTGCCGTTTCATTGAAAATGGAATATATTCAATATGGATCTTAAAGATCCTCCCACTCAACATAGTTGTAATGCCAAACTTTGCGCGGCTTAGATTGTTCCCCAACATTCATCGGCAATTCACTCAACACTGAAATGAGTTTGTGATCAGAAGATTCCAATGGAGACGTTACTGTGACTGTGTAAATTTCTGGATTGGTTCTTAGATATAGATTCAGAAGACTAGCCTATTCTCCATCACGATCAACAGCGAGTCTTCCACATTTCTTTACTTACCGTATACATACAACTATAAAAAGTTTTTTGAATTTGTTATATCCCCCACCATGCCCCCTCCCGGGTTGAGTGCCTTGAAGTAGAAGCTTTCCCCCCTCCCCAGCTATTTAGCGAGGAGAACCTACTACCCCACTCCATCCACTCCCGCTCTCCGAGCGGTCCTCAACTTACTAATGGGCACTTCAGCAAGATTGACATACGACCTCTTTTGGTCGAAAGTCAGCCTTTAGGTGCTATTCTTTCGCGATCGGTAAAAGTGTGTTGTCGTGACTATTCCTAACTAAATTTTTGCATGGGGGCCCCCAAAAACTAACCGGCGGCTATTGTTATTAGCGTCGAGCGTTCCTCAGTGAATCTAAGGATAATTGAATCGCGGTCGAGTTGTTCTGCGGTGAACTTGCTGGAAGAAAGTCAGATTAATATGCTTACCGGAGTCGCCTGACGGCGACTCGTGGGAGTGGTCGTAGATTCTGTTTCGTCGGCCTTGGATGTTTGTCCCTTTCTCGGAACCTGGGGTCATCCATATTCAACGCATCGTGTAGATCGCGTAGCGCTGGGTTGTTTTGCGATCTGATTCTATCTAACACGCTTTCTGCGTGTTCTCTCATATACACGTCCACATACTGCGTGTCCAGGTCTAAGTCTCTGTATATAAAACTATTGGGGATGTAGTACGGTGCGTTAACGGCGGCCCTTACGCTCGCGTTCATGAACGACTGTATCCTCTTCCTGTATGTCTGTGCGCATTGGCCCCAGGCAGTGCATGCCTACAGTATTATGGGCATGAGAATGGTTTTGATCACCAGCAACTTCACTTTCAACCCCATGTTGCTTCTGCGTCCTATGATTGGTGCCAGCCGTTGTCTGGCCATTCTCTTGTCCGTTGAAGATGACGTTGCCTTCCGGTTGTACAAACCTGCGAGTGAACCGTATCACCTGACTCTTGTCAGGGTTTATACTCATCTTCCACAGGTTGGCCCACTTCTCTAATCTGTTCGCCTGTTGTTGCAAGTACCTTGTGACATGTACTTGGCTCCTGGATCTCGCCAGCAGGGCCGTGTCGTCCGCATAGAGCGCCAACTTGTTAAAGTTGGCTTGGGCACGTCCGCTGTGTATACGGAGAAGAGGTATGGCGAAAGTACTGCTCCTTGCGGTACTCCTGCTTCCAGTAGTCGAACTGTTGATAATTCGTCTCCTACTCTGCAACGGCATCGCCTGCCAGCTAGAAAAGACTGAATTAATCTTACCATTGNACATCTTGATTTCTATTTATTTATGGTGAAAAATGTATCTCAAGTGCGACCCCTCCCTCAATAAATTTCTAGATCCGCTCCTGCCCGGGTCAAACTTTTCCTCCATCGAATCCATAACTAATTCCATTCACATCATCTGTACCTTCCATGTTACCCGCCATTTCATCTTCCTCATCGGAATCATACCATCCACATTTTTCCACGTCATGATTTGCAAAAGTGGAATCATCGATATCATCAGAATTACATAATAAATATTCAACTTCCTCTTGTGTATAAAAACGCTGAAATTTACGTTTCTCAACAGTCCCCGAGATGTTTTCCCTGGACCACCCTGGAATAGCGTTATCCGCTTTTCCAAAACAGCACTCGCCTGATAAATACAATTTACAATATCACACCAAGGTGCTCAGCGCTGTAGTAGTTGTATGATGCCTTCAGTCGTCATGAGCAGCGAATAGGGCGAGTATGCAGAGCAAGTCTTTTTCCCAGATACCAGAACTGCATTACTCGACGCCCGTTTCACCAACCAAGCTGGTATCTTCAGGAGATGAAGTAAGCCTAACTTCATCTACAGTTCATTTCAGTAAACAATAGAAAAATTTTAGGTTAGTCGGTAATTCGGCACATGCGCACATCGTCACACCGTTTCATGATTCATTTGGGACTTCCTTCGATCGCGACAGAAGACGGCTATGCCGATAACGACCGCCATCTTTGAGGGCGGTTCATCTTCAGTTCAATCAGTAAAGAATAGAAAAATTTTAGGTTAGTAGGTAATTCGGCACATGCGCGTATCGTCACACCATTTCATGGTTATTTTCGGACTTCCTTCGACCGCGACTGAAGACGGCTATGCCGATAACGACCGCCCTCAAAGATGGCACATGGATGTCGTGTTCTGAAGGGAGTCCAAAAGTGAGCCGTATACTAAAATAAGTACCACTGAAAACACTTATTGATATGACTGACGGCCATTTACGCCGGTAACCAGGCTAGACGTCGACGGATTCGACAAGGTCGTTAGTCCTGTAATAGTTCTAAACAGGTAGAATGGCAGCCCCTTACGCCGGTAACCAGGCTGGATGTCGTCGGATTCGATGAGGTCGCCAGTTCGATAAAGATATGAACATGTGTATTTGTGCTATTTTTATCCAAAGGCTTCCCGAATAGTGTTTTTTTTTCAAGTAAATGAAAACACTATGAACCGGAGGAACCTGGTCAATTGCCCTTGAATGAGAAGCAACAGCCGTAGAAATTAGAGAGAGAGAGACAGAGTAAATGAAAACACTTAGGGTGGCAGCATTGCCCCGAGTAAGACAGCTGCGCCCCCTAGATGGAGTAGTAGAAAGCCAAAAACTTTCTTTCCCAAAAATATATTAGGATTTCCTGAAGAAATCAATAAATATTATTAATTAATATCACAAATGGGTATCGTCTGTACACAAATTTTATATTACAAAATTTTAAACATTTTGCAAGTTAACATGTGTAGATAGCAAACAAAAGGGGTCCCAAAATAGAGCCCTGTGGCACTCCACATTTCAGCTTTAAATATTGTGAGCTGTTTCCTTTTGTTGACGGTTGGTGAGATACGATCTGATTAGTGATATAGCATTTTTAGAGAGTCCTATATAGTCCTCGGAAGGAACAGTATCACCTCAATTTAAAGACCCAAAAAGTGCCGCGTCTTTATAGCAGAATGTCCATGACTTTACAAACAGAAGGCCATGAACTTCCAAGTTTTAAGTGACTGTACAGGATGGAGCAGAAACCTGAGTGACTAATGGGCTCAGCTTGTTTTTTGGCACTTGATGGCACTTACATCCAGCCCAATAGATGTCAGCATGTTACACTTCTCTCAAACTTATAAGAAATTCAACTGTTAAACAAAATATAACCTTAAATCTTGAAGACTTCCTTCTATTACATTGTATTATTAGGCTGAGTTCCAACAAAGAGCCTCAAGGTATACCGACATATACATTTTTATCAAACACCAGCCAAGTTGCCATCTTCAGGCCTTGAAGAATAATAATTCAATTGTGATTTATTCTAGACCAGAGATAACAGTTTTACATTTCATTATATCTCAACAGCAATGGACCCATGACTACCCTGTTATATCAGCTAATTTCACTGAATTCTCGCCTTTAACAATTAATGAACTAAGAAATATTATATTCTCGCTTGACAAAACTAACAAAGCAGAAATTTTAAATGATAATTTCTTAAAAAAAAGCTTTGATGTGGCTGGGTACGCAATATTAAATTTAATTAACACATCACTTAGAACCGGTGTGTTTCCAGATCAATTTAAGATTTCCACTGTTGTTCCTGTACCGAAAATTAACTCAATTAAAGCTGAACATTTTAGACCATTAAATATACTACCNAAAAAAAAAAAAAAAAAAAAAAAAAAAAAAAAAAAAAAAAAAAAAAAAAAAAAAAAAAAAAAAAAAAAAAAAAAAAAAAAAAAAAAAAAAAAAAAAAAAAAAAAAAAAAAAAAAAAAAAAAAAAAAAATACTTACCTCAGAGCTAGAGCATTGCGTGTGCTTTGAAGGAACAACATTTTTAGTGAACACAAATGGTTTGAACACCGACTTGGATGGGTCAGGTGTAGCAGTGAACCAATGAATGCTGGGTTTCTTGCGGGATAGAACTGAAACCTGAAAATGTAAGCGTATTGTAGGATTCCTAGACATGTTAGGTTGGTAGGCTGTGGTATGTGCATTGACTTCGAGATGTAACCTTGGTGCTCACAGTAAACGCACATACCACTGAGGCTTTCTACTGCAATAGCAGACGAAAGGTTCGGTACTTCGGGTTCAATTTGATCAGTCTAGCAGCCTGGTTTTTGTTCTCTTCAATCAGGGCTCTGGCCGTGAAAGCCTATGTTCTTATATTGATTCCTAATCATTCTAACCAAAAAAACTTCTGAAGGAATCTGAAATAATAAACTCTTAAAATTTTTGTGGAAAATGAATTCCTTTTACCCCTGCTAGAGAACAGAGAAACCTTTACATACAAGGGTGGTCTAAAACGTTTCCGACCGCAACATAAAGATAGCAGCACTCCTAAATAAAAGCTAGTGAATTTCGTTGTTCATCTGTTGAGAGTTACTCACCAAAGTTTCAGCCAGACACGCAGATGTTATGATATATTATCCAAAAAACTGTCCACTCAGCTTTTTCTGTTGAGACGCCTTAAAATTTCTTTGAATTCTTCTACCTCCTATCTCCACATCACGCTCTTTTCCACTCTTATTTCCACCAAAAACTTTTACCGAAATTAGAAAGGTATGGGCTAAGAGATGCCTCTCTCAACTGGATATCCTCATTCCTTGAAGGTAGGAGTCAATATGTATCTCTCCAGTGTACGGTCAAAAATGAAATCCAGAGTATAAATTCTGAGCCTTTGAGCGTAGGCATGGGTGTACCTCAAGGGTCCATTCTGGGCCCAATCCTTTTTATCCTATATGTAAACAATATAGACTCTGTTGTTTCTGAAGTTCATTATACAGCTTATGATGACGACATTTCTATGATCATCTCAGCACCAGACGACGAAATATTGAAAGTCAAATGTGATTCTGCAGTTGAACAGATATCAGATTTTTTTCAAATATCATGATTTACTTTTTAATTCGGATAAAACAAATATTATTCGTTTTCATAATGAACAAAATAGGATAAAAGACTTCAGTTTCAGTGCTGATAATGCGACATACTCAAAATCGAATAAAAGTGTTAAATTCCTGGGTATTCTTCTTGACGAAAACTTGAACTGGAATGCTCATTGCCAACATCTAATTTCTAAGCTTAACTCAATAAAATTTCTATTCATGAATCTGCGGACTGTTTTAACTACCACTCAACTAATGAGCATCTATTATGCTCAAGTTGATTCAAGACTGAGGTATGGTGCCTGCTTCTGGGGTGGGTCATCCATGACTCATAATGTATTCATTGCTCAAAAACGGATTATACGGTGTATTGCAAATGTCTCAAGGAGAGAATCTTGCAGACAAATTTAGCTTACAGAACGAATAATAATCTAAGTAAATTTATTGAAAACAATAAAGACAAAACTTCGTTGTTGGATTGATCAGGAGTATATAAGCTGACTTGTGGCTCTTGTCCAAAACTGTATATTGGCCAAACAGGAAGAACATTTTCCCAAAGAATTAAAGAGCATAGAAGTAGCTTTGTAAATAGAAAGACCAATTCAACATTTGCAAACCACCTTTTAGCAGAAGGACATGAGTTCAATCATGAATACGATGTGTTACATTTAGAAGAGAAGAGTTTGAAACTCAATCCTCTAAATGATCAATTAGAATTAAATAACTCGCCATTACTGAATATTTTTTCAAATGTGGAAAATGGAACATAAGCTCAGGTAATTTAATTCATTACAAATTTAGGTGAAAAATCAGGTACTTGAAATTCAGGTACTTCAAATTGTAGAATAGGGTATATATAGTATTTAAAGTGTAGAATTAATTATTAAGACACGCCCGAGGAAGCCATTGCATGGCGAAACACGTGTTGCGTTTTTGTAAAACATCGCCAAATGTTGCTAGACGACAGCCGAATGAAAGTGAGAGAGACAGCACAGGTTGTGAACATGTCAAATGAACGTGTTACTCACATATTAAATAAACATTAAGGCACGACAAAGCTGTATGCGTGTTAGGTGCCACGTTTGCTTACATTAAACCAAAAACGTGTTGATTTGAACATTTCCAACGCTCTGTTGGCACAGTTTAGGCGCCGTTTAATTACTGTAGAATAGATAAAATTTGGATACACCATTATACACCCGAAACAAAAATACAGTCCACTCAGTGGAAGGCTGGGAAAGTGATTAAGACTGTTTTTTTGGGACAGTCATGGAGTTATATTTTTGAAATCTGACATGTGGTTCTCCACTCTAACAATTTGTTGTCTATGTGAAAGATATGAGTCGAAAAATTTCAAAGTGCTTTGACAAAGTCCATTATAATGGATTATAATGATGATTGAATGTATCAAAAGCTTTGCTAAAGTCGATCAATAGTAGGACAGTGATTTCGTCTCTATCTGATGCTGCCACGATATCATCTAATATATTCAATAAAGCTGTAGCACAGCTATAGTTTGGTCTGAAACCAGATTGCATAATTGGAAGTACATTGTTATTGTGAAGGTGGTTTCTCAGCTGTTGAGCAATAGCCTTTTCCAAAATTTTGGAAAGAAATGGAAGAAGACTTATAGGACGCAAGACTTTGAATTCCTTAGGTTCTTTAATTTTGGGTATTGGTACCACGATAGACTGCTTCCACATACTTGGGAAAACTTTCTTCGCCAAGCAAAAGTTTATAATATGTAAAATAACGGGCACTATAGGTGGACAACAGAGATTTAAGAGAGAATTATCGAGATCATCTATTCCTTTGGATCTACTTTTTATTTGTGACATGAAGGTTAACAGTTCATTTTCGGTAATCAATTCAATTCAAGAAATGATGTGATAGAATCATTCACATTATTACTGTAAAATTGTTCTAGATTTGGGTCAACCTTATTACACCGTTGTTGCGAAGCAATAAAAAAATCATTCATGTTGTTAGGATCACATAAATGGGAGGAAAGATTCAATATAGGTTTTTTATTATGAATATCGAGTTTTTTTAGCTTCATCCATAGATCTCTAGAGTTATTATGGTTATTATTAGAGGCAATGTATTCTAGATAAGCCTTCTTTTCTCGCTCAATAGAAGATTTAGTGAAGTTTCTAAGAGTTTTATAATAATTCCAATCTTCAGCTTTACCGGTTTTTTTGAATTTGTTTCTGGCTTTATCTCTTATTTTCATCATAAACTTCACATTGTCTGTAATCCATACTAGGCATCATTACTTGACAAGCTGAAGGCAAAACTTGCGAGAAGACAGCCACATTTGCAGTGAAAAAATCCTGTTTCACAAAGACAAAGCACCGTCTCACACCTTAGCAGTGACCATGGCAAAAATCCACAAATTATGGTTTGAACTGCTTGACCATCTGCTTGGAGAGAGAAAAAATTAATTCTGAAAAAGGCTTGTATCTTTGTTAGGTCGGGAACTTTCCAGACAACCCTTGTAGTTACAAAAATTTCGTAAATTCACATAATCATTTTCCAACAAAATTATAAACGCCAAACCTTTCACTCACCTGACTACCTTGAGTTACACTTCCTATGCCGTCGCAAGTCATACAAATACCGGACTCCTTATCTCGTAAAATAGCAAACATGTCCGTTTCCTTGAAACTTTTCGTGGAAGTGGATTTCTCCAGAAGTTTTTCCCCGGCCAAAAATCTGGATCCATACGGTTCTTTTTCACCACTGAACGCCTCTCGGAAATTGAACTCTCCCTATGCATACAAATAACGTTCGATGGTTAGGCATTCATTGTCAGTATGAAGCAAGGCGAGTTTCAAGAGCCCAAAAAAAATGTTCAATGAAGATATCTCACCTGGCCATCCCAAAGTCCTTTTGATTTTGCATATTCCAGTAACCCCTTGGAGTGTCTGTCGATTTTTGTGGTTATAGTCAACGCGTTAGATATATTTCTATATCCAGCTGAAATTTTTTCCAATATATTAGATTTATAGTGTCTCTCTACAAACTGGTTATTCCCAAAAAAATTAAAATTAACGACAGTAACACCTATACCAAAAATTACGAGCACAATAGTAGCGATAAATTTTCGTCTTGTTCGTCTACTAGAATATTTACAAACAAAAATGATTACACTAGTTCTACATGCATTGACTATATGGTTACTACACTTCCTGTTGATGTTTGTTCGTGTAAAATAGTTCAACCCAATATAGCTGACCATTTGGGTCATTTATTATCGTTCATTATAGGCAGTGATCCCAATAAATTTAGAGCTATTATTAATGAAATCTAGCTATAAGAAGTCTGTCACTCAGGTAGATATGAATTCCATTGGTATTGAGAATCAGATGATAGGAGAAATTTTATGTTATGAAAGTTCCAACTGCATCAAACGTGAGCCTGAAAATTTGGATTTTTATAATGAAGGAATAATTGAAAACGTGCGGTCGATTGACGAAGATAAATGCAATGAGCAGCCTGAACTCACTGTTGCCCCCAAACAAGAGACAGTTGAAAAATATACATCGGCCAGTGAAGAACGATATAAATCTATCAGTGAAGATTTGATCGGAGAAGCTATTGATTTTGACTGCACAAGTTCCCTTGAATCCCAAGAAGATTCTAAAATAAATCTGCAAAATGTCTGGTAAGTTTTTTGTAAACGAAACAACTACTCTCATATAAACATTATTACATGAAAGAAAAAATAATTTTACAACCCATTTTATATGAACATTCAATTATACAAAAACACTTTTACCTATTCAGTTTGTACTGCAAACATTTTTATGGAATTGAATCAGATATTATTCACAGGATTGCTACAATGTGAATGATATCTGAGTGAAAAATACTAAAATTTGGTTTCGCCAAATGGCTCAACCAAAAATGTATTTAAGTATGTAACATACAGTTAAGATAAAAAGTACTAGTCAGGAGACATTTTACAAAGTCAAAAATCAATTTTGAAATAAGACATACAAATGTTAAATCATAACATTATAGTTGTACATGTGTTTGAAATGTAAAGAAAGGAAAAAGTGTACAATATCCCTATCGATCGGTATAAAGTTTCCTCAAACATTAGTGATACATTTGAAAAGATTTTGGCCAACAAGAAAAATCACAGAGGAAATACTTACAGTGGCTATTTTACAGCATACTGTAGAATTCCGTATACAAGTCCAAAGATTTGTTTCAACACATAGCCTCATAATGTGAAATACAACATACAGAAGTAAAATTATGACATTTGAGTTATAGTTATAAAGGAAAACATTGGCCACCTACTCGTATAAAATGCACACATCTTCAGGTTGTTTAGAGAGCGAAACTTCCATTCTTTGATAACGTATCATGAATTTTTATTGGTAAATAGTTGATTTTAGCTAGATTCTGGAAAGATTCTGGAAGATTGTCAAAATGAAAAAGTTTTACTTAATGTTAATGTTTTTCATGTAAATGTTCAAGGCTTTTTGAATAATCTCCTTTCAATTGAATTATTTTTAAACTCTCACAACATAGATGTCATGTGTATTTCAGAGCATTGGTTTGCAATTAATAATTTCAATAGTGAATATTTCACGAATTATAGAGTGATCACATCTTTTACTAGACAAAACCATATTCGCGGAGGAGCTCTCATACTCGCAAAATAATCAAGCCATAAATTTGCTGAAATTTCATGTATTAATAACCTATCTATTGAATGTCACATTGAACTGTGCGCGACTAGTCTTAAAATTGGAGATGTAAAAATTTGCATAATCTCAGTCTATAGACCCCCAGATGGTGATATTAATACTTTTATTAAGTGTTTGACCCAGGCAGTTGACACAGCCTATAATCGAGCTGATTGTTTGATCTTATGTGGAGATCTCAATATTGACTTTCTGAAACAGGATAAAAACACCAAACTTCTGACCGATATTTTTGAATGTTATAATTTTAATAATTATTACTTGGGCCCTACTAGAATATTTACAAACAAAAATGATTACACTAGTTCTACATGCATTGACTATATGGTTACTACACTTCCTGTTGATGTTTGTTCGTGTAAAATAGTTCAACCCAATATAGCTGACCATTTGGGTCATTTATTATCGTTCATTATAGGCAGTGATCCCAATAAATTTAGGGAAATGGCTAATGCATCTATAAGTAAACGTCAGTTGCACCCTGAAAACATCAATGAATTCAGAACAAGACTAGGCTCAATTGATTGGACCTCACTATATTTCACTGATATGAATTGTGGATTTTCTTATTTTTCTGAACAAATTTCCTGGTGTTATGATGTTTCTTGTCCTTTTAAAAGAACTAGGCCTAGGGAAAATAAATCAAACTTATGGATCTCAAATGATTCAGTCAAAGAGAGCAAAGCCTTAAGAGATTTGTTTTGGTTAATTTCCACTAACTGTAATGTGGACCATCAANTCTTTATTTATCTTGAAGTGTGTCACTTTTGCCCGTAACAATATAACTGAATTTGTCACAAATGCGGATATACATGGTAGAGACACCCGTCATGGGAAACTGTTAAGAACCCCCTCACACAAAACGGCTCACTTTAGATGCTCCCCACTATTTAATACAACAAACTGTTATAATAACTTGCCGGCATCTATTAGGAAAATCGAGTCAGATAAACTTTTTAAAATTGAGGTGAAGAAACTTCTCTTACAGAAGTGTTACTACAGTCTTGAGGAATTCTTGCACGACACTTTTTCATGACATTTTGAGAGTATTTGCTAGAGCTTCTCCGATTTTTTATATAATACTTCTATGTTGTGAAAGTTTGTGGACGTGAACCATATTTATTGTTTTTGTATTGTTCAACTTCTGTAGTTTTATTTTTGTTTTTTAATTATGGCTTAGCACATGTACTCAATGTACCAAAGTGTCAAATAAATAAATAAATAGATTCACCTGAGGGTATTGGAAATAATGTTTCATAGTAGTGTAATTGTTCACCTGCTACAAATTTTTCCTTAATTTTATGTAGGTGCAAAATTATGTTTAATACCTATATAGATACTGGGCATAGTTAGAATTTCCATGTTGACAGTGGCTGGGTGTGGTTCCTGAGAACTACTCAAGCCATTTCTTGTAGGATTTTTTTCACAAATGCAGACATCTTGTGATGAGAACTTTGCACCCAATCAGTGTACAATATGCAACATACCATATGCAGATTATGCAAATTTTTCTGACTTGAGACAGCACTGCCAATTCCTTGCTAAGCGTTTCTACAGTCTATAATTGATTCATGTAGAGTAGAGAATGCCATTCATGATGACCCCAGCTACTTCTGGAATTTCTTCAAGACAAAAAAGAATTATACCACTTTTCCCAACTCTTTGTTCTTGGAAGACAGAACCAGTGAATCTAGGGAATCTATTGGTCATCTTGGTCATAAATACACACAACTATTTTCCACCAAAGTTTTCAAAGGAATCTCTGAATTCAAGGACGAGTTGAGCCACATTTCTGACGGTATTCCATCATACTCCTTGAAATTGTTACACTCATACTCACTTGGCATTGTAAGGAACTAGTCATTGATCAGCAACATGGTTTCACAGCTGGGAGATCTACAGTAGATCTACAGTTACCAACCTCCTAGTATATCAAAATGAAATAATCAAATGTTTTGAATCGGGCATACAAATTGATGCAATCTATCCTGATTTTAGTAAAGCGTTTGATCCCGTTAACCGTAATCTATTGGTACAGAAGTTGATCTTGTTAGGTTTTCCTTTTATCATTTACTGGATAAGCGATTATCTCAAAAACAGGTCACAGATAGTCAAAATTAAAAACTCTGAATCAGAATAAATCTTGGTATCCTCTGGAGTGCCTCAGGGCTCTCATTTGGGATCCCTGCTGTTTACCTCATTTAAAAACGATATTAGCAATTCAGTTTATAACTGTAAGCCCTTGCTGTTTGCTGATGACCTAAAGCTATATTTGCCTATCAAAAGTATTGAAGATTGTCGTAACAACAGGATGTTGTTAAATAAGGAAAATGCTTCTGTAGAATGTAGAATGAATAACAATATTCTTTTCAACTATGTTCTTGACGATGTCAATCTAAATCGGCTCAATGGTACAAATATTTGGGAATAACCTAGGTGAACCTTTCATTCACCACCCACATTAACAGTACTATCAAAAAAGCTCTCAAACTTCTTCAGAAATTGTAAGGATACAACAGTGGATTCCACCAGAATTATTTCCCCAGCCTGTATAAGATCTGTTTTGGAGTATTCGTCACCAGTCTGATCTCATTATAAAGTACATATAAATAATATTGAAGCAGTGCAAAATTGATTCCTCAGACTTGTTGCGTTCAAATCTGACCTCACATGTGGAGAATATATTATTTGGATGTACTTGATATTTCAAATCTTCACACCCTTTCTTTTCGTAGAACAAACAACGATATCATTACCTTCTTCAAAAATGATATGTTCGTTCAACTAGGAGCAATGATCTTTTTACTAGTATAGTGTAGTGGAACACTTGCCGAGGTTTTGTAAACTTTCAAGTAAAACATCTCACAAAGTGATATTCAAATTTTCATTAAGAATCGGCCAATTCCAACAAATATAATCACATAATTTTTTATTTTACAGGGCCTCCAATACCTCAGCTGTAGGCGAAAAAAATGGTAATGTCATGATTTCATGTGTGAATTCACCAAGAAGCGGGCATGAAGACACCAAAAGTTTCTACATACAACAAAAAAATTTGCAAACCGATTCTGTTTTGCTTTATAAATGCAACATGTGCCCGACAATGCACGCTTTCAAGCATACCTATTTTGTAAATGACAACATAGGGCTCCCTTCGTGTCCATCTCAACCGAAAGTAAAGAAACCTTGGGGGAAGAACCTCACATGCGAAGTACCTGGATGTAAATTTAGAACTGACAACCGCAAAAAATTGAAAACACACGCCGCCGTTCATTCGACTGAATCGTATAAATGTGACGAGTGTGCGTTTGTTACGAAGAGCGAGGAGTATCTAGAAAGACACAAAAACTCAATCCACAATCCTAATGCAGAACGTTTCTATTGCAATCAGTGTCTTTTTAACACGACTCGAAAGAACAGCTGGAAAAAACACAAAATGTTTCACGAACTCTCCAGTCCCACACCGACAACACAAGACCATCATCAGAAAGATTCAAAATATAAAATGTACTGCTACAACTGTTCTTTTCAAACTCACTCGAAACCTAGTTTGAAAAAACACATGCTGTTGCATATGAATCCAGAATCACTCATTATGTTAAAGTGCTCACATTGTTCATATACAACCAAGCGTAAGGAGAATCTTAACCAACACATGGTCAAGCACTATGATAAAACGAATTTCGAGATGTTGAAGTGTGCCAACTGTAACTTTGAAACTAAGCGTAAAAATGCTTTGAGAAATCATATGGCAACACATAGAAAGTCGTGAATGATGTGACCAAAAAGAGATTTCAGATAGAGTTGGTTTTTGTACACAATACAGAAAGAAAACTAGTCATTAATTAGATCACAATTGTTGTAAACAATTATGTTCGTGAAGAGATAATCATAGAAATGATTTATGAGTTATATTTACACTGCTTACAAATTTGTTAGTCAAAATAAGTTGAAATGTAATTGTAAAATTTGGTGAGATTTTGTATTTCATACTTTTTTCAAATTATTCTGACTTTTACTTATTTCAATCATTTCCAAAATGTTTGGAAATTATATTTTAACTTTTGAATAATAAATCTGGACACATTCCAATATGACATATCCGTTCCCCAGAAAAAAAAAATTCAACTTCATTTTCTTTCGACATTTTTGTTTAATTTTATTTATATTGTAAGAGCATGCCAATTCATTTTTCAATGTAACTTTGTTGACTATACTTAGAGGTTTCACTGTATTGTTTGCTTTGCATTCTTCATTTGGTAGGTATTCTTGAAGAAGGAATAAATTATTCGGAAAGCTTGGATAACAAAAAATTGTGAATCTCAACCTACTTGTCAACTACAAAACTCGATAAACAAAGAAGCTTCATCTGTTCCGTTAGTCAAATGAACTGATTGAACTATTTGTTAAAATATTGAACTTCATAAATATGTCTCATATCAAATCTTTAAAAAATATTTCAACAGAAAAAATCCAGACCAACAGCCCTGTATTCCTATATCACAGTATTTCATTTTCGTATTATAACAAACTGAAGCTTTTTTTATTTTAGGATACATATTAATTATACATATTGCATCGCCAACACATCTTATATGAGATCTGATAGAAATACCTATAGTACAATTCCATAATAGCAGGCACTAAATTCTCAGAAATATTGTATTAAAACGAAAACATTGTTGTCATGTTTTTATACCAAGAGTTTTCAGTTGTCATTTTTCATGGTGATATCCTACCACGTAGTAACGGCTAAATCCATCAATTTATACTAACTCACCAAGCCATATTTGATATCTCTAATAATATTTAATGATGTGGTTACACATTTTAAAATACCCCAGTACGTGCTTGGCCTATTAACCAAAAGACAATAATTTCTCACATCTGTCAGTTATTAAGATCTGTAGCGCGACTGGTTTAGCTTCGTAATATACGGTTGTTTCAAAAGTTATGTTCCTTTTAATGTCATGTGTTTTTGTAGCTTCATATGAAAATATATATTAATTCTACTGTTTCATGGTATATATTAATCGATACATTGATGCCGTTCGTTTTTTTCCAAATTTTAAGCCAAAGCGCTACCGAGGATTTGAGGAACCTTACGAAGACTGACCCATCACAAACGGTATGTAGGATGGCGGAAGAACTGGGCGTCAGCTCCCATGCGGTTTTGATGGTTAAAAACGTTTTAAAAAAGCTCGAAAAGTGGGTGCCGCACGATTTGAACGAACAACAGAAATTGTTACGTTTCGAAAACGATCCTTTTTTTTGTCGGATCGTTATGTGTGACGAAAAGTGGATCCTCTACAACAAGAGATGTTCAGGACAGTGGTTGAACACCGATGAGACACCCAGGCAGTTTTGAAAGGTGAAAACATTAAAAAAAACATGGTTACTGTATGGAGGTCAGCGGTTGGTGTGATATACTGTAACTTTCTGTAACTTGGACAAACCATCTCAGCAGAGTCCTATTGTGAGGAAATCGTCGATATGTACCGAAAATTGCGTCAGCAGCAGCCAGCATTGGTAAACAGTAAAGGTCCGATCCAGCTCCACGACACCTGTCCGCACGTTTCACAAATCACCGTCGAAAATTAAACAAACTCAGTGACGAAGTTCAAGCACTTCAATAACTTTCTCACCGGTAGAACCTTTGCCAATCAGGATCAGACAAAAACGACCTTCATCAACTTCATCGAATCCCGAGCAAACAATTTTTATGCTGACAAAACTTGTCGTTTTGTGTTATGTTGGCAAAAGTGAATTGATTCAAATGGCTCTTATTTCGAATAAATTGGATAAGTATTCACCGAGATATCACTGTTCAAAGTAAACTCATAAAAACGAACAGAACTTCTGAAACAACCCTAAGGTAGGTCATAGATTTAGGGTACGGCGGGGTTTATATGCCAAATGGTTGTTCGCATAGCAAGGTTGTATATAATGTAAATATATGAAGTAAGTACTGTTATGATGTAAGTTTGTAATGAAATGTGTGTAGTAATATATTTAAATACATTTTTTCTTTTTAATGCATATATTTAAATTTATTATAACACTATTTTCATGCAAGTAACCATCTGCTGTTAGTTGTCATTTTCTGACAGTAATAAAAAATCACAACTGAAAAATTGTTTTGTGTTTTGTTTGCGAACATATCTTAGCGAATGCATTGAATGATTATGGTTTGAAGGCAAGTCTGAAAGCTCAACTGGAAAAATGATTTAGCATCGTGCGTTAACGCACGCAATATTTGATACAACAACGTTTTATCCACATATCCTTATAAAAACATTCACATCCACCACGTATGTTTGTGCTATCTGTCTATCTACTAACATATTCTAACGCTGAAAAATATCAAGAAATAGACGTCAAGCCCAAGAAGAATTACAACATGGTATATACCAGACAAAGTTGTAATCCCACGATTGACATGACTCATGGTTTAATGCTAAAACCATCCTCACAAGTATAGGGTCTTCAAACCGCCATAAATACGTGACTTGATAATTTTAACAGTGTTTCATTGTTTCGTTCAATTTTTGCGAAAAAGTGTAGATACCTAAATATAATACACGTAAATTGTCAATCATTTCTAGAAACTTTGCGTCAACTCAAAAAACCGCATGTAATTGAGTATGCGTTTCAATTCCACTATGACGCATGCATCATGATACATAAAAAATGCACCATTTAAAACTAGCTCATGAACATTTTTAAGAAAAAGTGAATAATCTTCCAAGAGAAGTAAGGTTTCTAATTAACTAATCCAAAAGCTCAAATATTATCGTATTGGTGATGTAGTTGAAAAGTTACCTCAATTCGAGGAGTCAAATAACAAAAATTAATAAGTGCTACTCACAAGAGTTAGTGAATGATTTTGGAGATCCACAAAAAGAGATCAGAAAGTACCTATTATATATATAAGTCCTTACTAAGTTTTTTAAGCTATAAATGGAGCGGATGTATTTCTCCTGAGAATTATGTCGCATATCGTTCAGAGCATTAGTGAACGAAGTCCAAGTTACATTGTTCACGCTTTTTCTGTGTGAGAATATAAGTGTTATGGCGAAAACCAATGAAGATGATGGTGAGTTATTGACTTTTAATATCATATGACTTGATGAAATGAAACTAGGAAGTTGATACTATCCTCAGCGTCAAATTCACGCAATTCTATGTAATTTTTGTATTCAGTCTTTGAGGTTATGTCGTGCATATTAACAGCATGAGTGAATTTCATGGACCTACCTCATACAGGGATTCGTTCACAGTTTCAGATTCAGAAGATGATGTACCCCTGATTCAATTTTTACAACCCAACCAAAGACTACGTACAGCAGAAGTTCGAAATGGCAAGTAATAATCACTAACGTTTTTTTTTGGATGATTTTTTTATCAGTATTGTCTATTTCAGGAGATGCAGTGGTTCGCGAAGTAGGAGAACGTGGTCGGAAAAGAGCTCGCAACGAAGCGAATTGGTACAGGAATAAAAGAAAAATTCTGAGAAATAGTGGCAAAACTTACGAAACGAAAACAAAAAAATGTGTTCCGGCTAAATGTTTCAATCCTGATTATAACTGTGGATGCCGCAAGCAATGCATGACAAAAATCAATTTTGGAGATTTGTCAACATTTTTCGAATCATTCTGGAAACTAGCAGATTACAGCAAACATATCATTTTCCTGCGGGGTTTAGTGAAAATGTCCACAGTTAGAAGAAAGCGTCCAAGAGATGGTTCTGGAACAAACAAATCCTCATTGTTTGAATATACTATACGTTTGAAACTGAGAAAAACCAAGAAAGTACTTTATAAAAATAGCTGCGTAAACGCAAGCGAAACATAAGTGGAACCACCCATTGGTGTGACACCCAAGTCAACTTACCAAGTTTTTATGTCAGTGTTGGTGGTTTGACCAATCAAACGACAACTGCGGTAGCAGAAATTTGGGAACCTAACCTGAAATGCTATCGAAAAATGAATCCACATGTTTCTAGAAATGGTATGAAATCTAAAAAGGTTAATGCAGGCAAGCTACTGGAAAATAATTCCATGAAAATCAAAAAATAAATAGAAAAGTACTTTTTGATCGTTCCCATATTGATTTTAATTTAAGGGCCACCGGTAGACAGCTGTTTCAGCCTATTGGGCATCGTCAGTACCGGTCAGGCGGTCCTCGATTGAAGACAAAATGAGAAAAACCAAGAAAGTACTTGTAAAAATTTCATCGAACAACTGATAATACCATCCTAATTGATTGGTACAGAAAACCAGTTAATTCGGGTAGATTTATGAATTTATCATTCATAACACAAACAATCCATGAAAAAACAGATGAAACAACGTATACTCTGTATTTCCGATTGTTCTTTCCATCAAAAAAATTACTTCTTGCAAACGCCATGCGACGTTTATATACTTTTCTTGGCACGTGCCACTGGCACTGGCTACTGATAAGATAATGTACAAAGGCTATATGGCACGTTCTTAAACCATTGTGTATGCCTGTTTTGGGATTTGACGGCATAATGATATTGTGAGCTATGGGACGTTTCAAACTGCAGAGTGCACTGCCGAATTAAAAAATTCTACAAGAGTGGATCGCACTTTTATGATTACAATTGTTTTTTGGTGGTATTGATGATATGTGCAAATGCTGATGGTATATTTCTAACCATTAATGTCGGTGAAGCGGGAAGAATGAGTGACAAGGAAAACATTTCCAACAAGGAAAAACTTTCGATTCCCAAGTCAACATCATCGTCAAATGATGACGTATTTTTCCATGTTATTTTGTAGGGGACGAGACATTCCCGCTACAAAAAAAGTATGCGACCGTACCCAAAAGGGTTCCTGATAATGAGAAAAGCAGAATATTCAACCACAGATTATCAATGGGGTGAAAAAGCGTAGAATGTGCTTTCGGAAGGCTAACATCCAAATTGGAAATATTTCAAGGGTACTATTATGTAAAGAGGATGCACCTATATCAGCCATTGAAAGTGCTTGTATTCTCTATAATTTTATGAAAATCAGAGGGTAAGTTTTTGATTCCACAGATTGTAAATAATAACATCAGACGTAGGAATCCATAACTATATGATATTCCACCTATTGACTAGTCTGCTGAATGCCGTTTCTCATTTTCGAGAAGTGTCTCGAATAGAAGGCAACAAGCCTTCCATTTTGTGAAAGTGAAGTAGCTATTGTAAATTCTGAAATATCTGTTCCATAAACAGATTTTAAACAGAGAATTCCTCCACACACCCTTACCAGCATAGAGTTGCTGCATTCAATACTATGCTTCACAGACTATTGAATATTCCACTGCCTGAGAGTAATTTCCAGAGAGAGCTGAGTTTGATCAAACAAATCGCGGTCAACAATGGTTATGAAGTAGATATTATAGACTCCATTCTTTTCAAAAAACTACAAAAGTAAGCTATGGCAAGCAAGCTACCCAAATTCAAGATGCGATAACGTCAGTTATAGGACATTGTCATATTTGGGTGAACCAGCCAATAATATTGCATGTTTTTTTTAAAAAGTATGCGTAAACGTAGCTTATAGAACGGATAATAGTCTGAGTAAATTTATTGAATACAAAGACAAATCTTTGGCGTCGGATAGATCAGGAGTATATGTACTGACTTGTGGCTCTTGACAAAACGGTATATCGGCCAAACAGGGGGAACATTTTCCCAAAGAATTAAAGAGCATTAAAGTAGTTTTGTAAAAAGAAAGACCAATTCCACATTTGCAAACCACCTTCAGCAGAAGTACATGAGTTGAATCAAGTTTTACATTAAGAAGACGCGAGTTTGAAACTCAATCTTCTAGAATGTTTGGAAATCAATAGATTCAGGAATTTGGGTAAGTTACTGAATGATCAATTAGAATTGAATAACTCCCCGTTACTAAATATTTTTTCATATGTGGAAACTGGGACATAAGTTCAAATAATTTAATTCGGTTCAAACTTAGGTAAAATCCAGGTACTTGAAATTTAGGTACTTCTAATTGTGAAACTAAATATATTAAGCATTGAAAATGTAGAATACTATTAGTTAAGATACGCCCGAAGAAGCCATTGTATGGCGAAACACGTGTTGCGTTTTTGTAAAATTGTTCAGTGAAAATCTCACAAAGTGTTTTTCAAATACGTTAGTTATGGATTTTCATCAAGTATCGACTAATTCCATCATATATATTCGTTTCAACTGTTAACGGAACGCTTTCTTTAATGGACGTAACCATGGATTTCGCGAAGTTCACTTTCAGATGTTTGAAAGCTTCTAGAACTGATGAATCGATCGAAAATGGTTTGAGTTGAATGAAGTTACATTATGAACCTCAAGATAACTCTGAAATGTTTATTTCCAATGAATTCATTCCCGATTCGCTGAACTTGAAGTTAGATCAAAACGATCCGGACGAAAATATCTTCTATTGCCTCCCATAATCGAAGTCTTATTTTGATGATTGAATTTTTATGAATAGATTGAACTTTGATTTCTAGAATAAGTGATACAGGGTGGAATGAATATATATGATTTTCATCACAATGTAGTCGTGACAGAAATACACAAATACACATCATTCCGTTGAAGTTTCACTTATAGAAAGGTTTTCAGAAATGTCATAGCCGACTTCTAGAGTTGAATGTGTCAATGTCAATAGCCTCTCATCTCTAGGTTGTAGATCTATGTTTTATTCCCGAGCGGCAACACTGTCACAAGTCCTATATTCGAGTTCTATGATCCCATACCGGAAACAGCTGGTCCATTGTTTATACTTCAGTAACGTCATAATAGTCATAATATTTATTGTGAGTTATACGGGAAGTCAAAAGCACGCTGTACTCTTGGTCAGCTATTTGTTGATTCAAAACAAAGTCTCCCTAGCAGTTAGAAATTCCTGATTTCTCGTAATAACGCAAAATGGAACATATCAAGAACTTCTTTGAGGATACTTTATCTTTTAAGCTTGATCCATCGCTATATATTGTCCAACGATATTTGGGGAAGTTCTTCCAGGAAAAACTATCCACACATCAGGTGACAATTGACCTGAGGAATTCTACTGCTACCTTGACGAATGTCACTTTTAATTTAAAGGTATGAACATCTATTCTAATATGTAGTTATTGTCTTTATTGATTTTACTTGACCAGTGATGGAAAATTCTGGTTGGGTTGATTTGTTATTTGCATTGAATGTAATTTATGATTACTAGGATGGAGCTAGTTATCAGCAATTTCATTCTATTTTCAATGTTTTCCAATGCTTTTCAGCGAGTGTCATTGAAATTATTTCTTTTCTTAGAACAAATAGTATCTTCATCGGAATAACTCACCAACAATTATTCATATGATTGTGTGGATATAGATCGATTCTTTCTCATTTATGATATTTGCTATCATACAAAGTTCTGTAGGTATGTTGTCTCCCCAACAAAGTATACATTAGCTGTATCTCCAAAAGGCAGCCATTTTGTTTTTCCAAAATTTCATGTGAATACACTCTCAAATAGCATTAATTTTTTGACACCTTATTGGTTGTTTTTCCCTACATCCTTTCTATACCATAATAACATTTGAAACTGGAAGAGTCAGTAGGATACCTACATAAGATACCTACCTAAAGATTGATAATAATGATATCAACCTTAATGATGATCGAGATATGATACAGCACACATGGACACATACAATTATCCATATCATTGACAGTGATTGTAATACTTGCCGGTTTCACTAATGTTAACTCGTTTTGCAAAAATAAATTTGAA